TCTTGTTCTCCCTCCTTCTGCTTCTCATTTGGACCTAGGGAGTTAAGTCCAGTGCTCCAATGTGGATCTCTATCTCCATCCATCACCAGATGAAGGTTCTATGGTGATATGCAAAATATTCGTCAGTATGGTTATGGGCCAAAGCCAGTTCAGGCACCCTCTCCTCTGCTGTCCAGGGAACAATCTGGGGACCTCTCCTTGGACCTGGGAACCCCTCTAGAATCAAATCTCTTGCAAATCCTAAACTGGCTCCCTTAGTTGAGATATAAACTTCCCTGCTCCCATATCCATCCTTCCTCCCTCCCCCTATCCCATTCCCCCAAGCTTTCCCCAATCCTCCCCTACTCTCCTCTCTCTAACCATCTCCTCCTAAAAATGATTTTTAATGATTAAGATTTATAAAGTGTTTAGAATATCAACTTGTGTAAATTAAATATTTTTAAGTGTGTCACTAAACAAATCATGTAGTGATCCTTTTGTTTCCGTATAGATTATAGCCTTATCTCTTCCATGTTTTGTAAATTTTAGTAAGATCTAGCATTGAAATTTATGTTTAGAAAATATCTGGTAATTATAGCCTTTTAGGGGAAAATGAAATGGAGCCCTTGAATATCTAGAGACCTAGAATCTGTGATAAAAATTGAGAATTAGTTTAACGTATAGCAGAACAAAGGGATTGTTTGTGAGCTGAAAGAGAGCAATTTATCATTTTATTTAATCAATAAACAACAAGCTTCAGTCATTTGAGAGTATACTACTACATCAATGCACATTTACAGTATAAAAATAATTCTACCTATTATTTCTGTTCTGTTGAAAAGAAATTTATGGTGCCCGTTGAAAGGAAAATGATCCTCTGACGTAAATTCAATAATAGTTCTGTCTAGATTTTTCCACAGACAGAACTTTAGTTTAGTACTAATATACAAAAATATACATGCATCCCTTGTCTAATCCAGTTTGTGACCTTAGGAGGAAAGTCAAGATAAATCAGAAACTGAATGTTAAAAATCAAGACCTTTCTTAGCATTTGAAGTACTTGAATGTTTAATACTGATTATCATAAATTATAAAAAGCATTTGCATCCTGGTGACAAACCATGTGACACTATAAGTAAAGCTTGCTGTAATAGAAAGATATAAAAAGCATTGTAAAATACTACATAGAATCTGTGTATGGCTTCTTACAAAGTGAGAGTTACTTGCATCTGAACTTAAAACCAGAAAAATACTGACTTATGGCCATGTAAATATATGATAAAAAAATTTTCCATATTACATTTATGATGAATCATTTTGAGTTCTCTGGCTCAGTTTTGACTGATTAAAAAAAAATTCTTCTTAGGGATGAGTAGTATAAGGCAGGGGTGGGGGATGGTGGCCATGGATGGCACTATTTTCTGTTCAGCATCTCTCAGTGGAAAAAGATAATTCTTATAGTAGACATTGAAATGCCAATCTATCTAGAATGGAAACCCAAAAGGCTAATTATATGGAAAGAATGTGAGATTCTTTAAGCAAGAGGGCTGAAATGAATGGCAGAGATCAGGAATTTTCAGAATCTAAATTTCAGGACAAAAATGAGCCATGGTTTCCTTTTGAAGTAATAAAAATATTCTAAAATCAGGTTGTGCTGTTGGTGGCGTAACTTTATGAATAAACTGAGAGCCACTGCATTGTATATTCACTGAAGTAAAATTTACAATATTTGAATTCTGTCTCATTTGGGGTAGAAGATGAAGTGGTGGTGACTGAGGCTCCTTAGCTTAGAGTAGGAGCACAGCCAATATAAGAACGTTTGTGTACAGGGTCACATTAGGTAACAATTAAATGTGTCACATGGAGGGAGAACAGACTAAGAATAGAGGCCGCTTTGTTAATATTATAGGAAGAGAATTCTATCTTATGAACTAACTCTAAGGTATTGAGTTAGAATTAGAGTTGTCACTGAGAACTCTGTGTGTCGGTTTACAAACAAAAATGGAAATGTATATGTATAAACAACAATGTACATGTACTTAGAGAGATAATATGTGTGTAGGTGTACTTATGTTTTCACATATATGTACATATAAATACTGCTTTACAAATATATGTGTATATGAATACTATGTAATTGTTCACTGAGCAGGTCTTGGAGGAAGTGAATCCCAATAACAATTGACATACTTAGTATATAGCTGTTAATGTTCTAAATACCTTTTTTTCTCTAAGAAGAACAACATCTTCTGAAGAGCTTTTCTAAATCCATAACTGAGACAGGAAAAATATCAGATGAACCTAAAAAATCATACACCATAGAGCTATGTCCAAAACATGGCAGGAATGTGTTAAAAGGTCTTAAGAACCAAATTCAAGAAGCTTGCTTACCCTAGTTAAGTATGAAATGATTTAAACTAAATACTGATAGTAACCAATTTTAACCCAGTGTGTAAGATAGGAATCACTGAAATGCATGGGTAGGTGGGTGGGTGGGTGGGTGGGTGGATGGATGGATGGATGGATGGATGGATGGATGGATGGAGAAGAATCACTATTTGAAAACATTGATAGTAATTAATTCAATTATTCAGGGAATATTAATACTCAAAATAGAAAAATTCATCAAAGAAATGTGAGACAAGTATCTATTTATACATCATTGTTCATACTATTCACTGTAGCTAAAAACTGAAAACAATTATCTAGATGTCCAACAACAGATGAATGAATGAATAAACGAATGAATGAATACTATTCTATTAAAAAGGAATGCCATTCTGAAGCATGTTACAGCACAAAGAACCTTGAACCCATTATGCAAAGTGATATAAGCTAGAATCCAAAGAGTAAAATACTGTATGATACTATTTCCAGGTTGCTTAGAACAGGCAACTTCATCAGGGAAGAAAGTAGACTAACAGTCACTAGGGACTAGTAAGAGGAGGAAAACAGGAAGAAAAATCACTGTTTAATGGGGTTGTATTTCTTGGGGGCAATAAAAAGTTCTAAAAGTGGATAGTGACAGTGGTTACACAACACTGTATATGTACTTAAGGTAAAAGAATTTTAGCACCTAAAAACAGCCTAAAGGAAATTCCATTTATATATGGAATTTGTGTATGTATATGTGTGTATGTGTGTATATGTAACAAAATATATTAATAAATAAAGCATTTTATATAAGTCCAGTCCTGCCATCAAAATACTTATTAATTACAAATGGGGGAAATATAATTTTAAAATAGAAAATTCTGGCACATACTGGCAAAACCAAGTGATCCAAGTTAACATAGCAAAACTTTGACATTTCTGTGAAGAAATGCATAACCTGGATGGAATCAGAAGATAAATCGAAGAACATTGCACTAAATACCTAGACTGTAAGCCTTATAAGAGTCAAGGTCATGGCAGTTAACAGTATAGTACTGTTTCATAGTTTCAAAATGACCTGATAACTAAGTGAGTTGTGTAAGGTTGAAATGCTACCTTCTAACCCAGAGCATGTCACCAAGCAAGGATTCGAGCTTGGGTTCAGCCTGGGGCTGAGGTCATAGTAATGGGAAAGGTCAGGATACTGATTTCTGTGCTGGCCTGTGAGTTATACAGAAGAATGTGTTTATAGAAAATGGTCAACTTTGGAGGATGAGGAGAATTCTAAGTTTTATATGGCTTGGGGGGGGACAGAAATTCTTTGTACTATTTTGAAACTTTATCAAAAGTTTAAATTACTTCAGCATATAAATGGAGTACTTACACAAACTCTTTGAAAAGAAAAACCATCGAAAGAATTTGAATTACGTAGCTGTTGCAACTAAAACATAGATCCAAGAATGAGACAGTTTGAAAACTACTGATCAAATAACAGGAACCATTAACATGTTACAATGTTACATGTAACATTTACATGTTACCATGTTACAAAAACATTTCTTCAATTCAAGTATTTCTTATAAATAGATTGAGGATGATCTCAATAGATTGTCTGTGAAAATTACAATCTTTAAAAGTGGGGAAATAAGGGCTCTGGATATGGTTCAGTTAGTTATTAAAATGTTTGTGATGCAAGCCTGCGGACTCGAGTTCAATCTCCCACCCGCATAGAAACCTGTCATGGTGGCACATGATTGTAATCCCAGTACTGGGAGGTAGAGGCAGGCAGATCTCTAGGACTAACTGGCCAGCCCTTCCCAGTCAATCTTCCCAAGTACCAGTGAAAGACCACCATCTCAGAAACAAGGTAAATGCTGCTGAGGAACAACACCTGGTTTACCTCTGACCTCTACACACACAAGCATACATGCACTCACGCAGAAGTTTAAAAATTCAGCTGATAGACTTGAGCATTATAATTTTTGAACTTAGAATGTGAAAATTAAAGAAAAAAAAACAACTGAATATAAAAACAGCAATAGAACTAGACCATTTTGTGTTTAAGATTTATGTTTGCTGTCTTCTTATTGCAGGTGATGTTGAACAGGAACTTGGTCCACCTCCCTCTGTAGATGAGGCAGCAAACACACTCATGACTCGTCTGGGTTTCCTCCTTGGAGAGAAAGTTCCAGAAGTACAGCCAGGTGATCAGTACAGCATGGAAGTACAGGATGAAAATCAGGTAAACTATGCCCTATCAACTTGACTAAACAATGGGGATTAGAATTTTATAGCAGGAAAGAAAGATGATGTGGGTGTGTGCTCATCCTGAAAGGAATGATATCAATTGTTAGAATTCATTTTGTGGCCTAGAATATAATTTAATTTTCCATAATCATAGTATTTCTTGTTTTTGCTTAATATATACAAAAGCCAAAGAAACAAACTAATGAATGATTAAATAACAAATAAGTTACTCGAGTGAAAGAATTGAGGGATTAACACTGCACTGGGAAACTAAGAGTAAACACTGTTCTCAAGTATATATGCATTATTGGCAGGTTGATGATATGCAGAGCCTAGAGCAGATCTTAATCAGTTTCTAAAACTACGAATTACTTCTACCACAGTAGAATTAATTACAAAATAACTTAGAGAATGACAGCTAAAAGTTAAACATCCCCAAATGTTTAGCAATTAAATAATGTGCATCTCAGTAGTTTTGAATCCAGAAAATTAGATAAGATTCTAAACTGTTGCAATGAAAACTAAGTATAACATATAGGATGTAGCTCAAGGTTTACTGAAAAATAATAAAGACTAGTTTTGAATGCATATATTAGAAAAGTTGAAAATCTGAGAAATTAATGATCCGAGAATCCATCTCAGAAAGCTTTAAAATATTATAATTAACTTTCTTTTGGGTTATGTCCTAGTTTGCTTTTTGTCAACTTGACACAAGGTAGAGTTATCTGGGAAGAGGCATCTCAGTGAGAAATGCATTTGTCAAATTCCCTTAGGCATTTTCTGGATGAATGCTTGATGTGAGGGCCCAGCTCACTGTGTGTAGTAACACTCATGGGCAAGTGATCTGTGTAGGAGGGAGGGCCTTGGACTTCCTATAGGGCAGGGTACCCTGCCCTCTCTTAGGACTGGAGGGGGGTAGGGGGAGGGTGGGGGGGAGAGGAAGGGAAGTGGGAGGAGGGGAGGAAGTGGAAATTTTGATTGGCATTATTTATAAAGTAATAAAAAAAGAAATTAAAAAAATTACAAGCTACCAGAAAAAAAAAGAAAAGAAAAGAAAGCAACCAGAGGAAACCAGTGGGAACAAACCAGTGAGCAGCAATCCTCCACGGCCTGTGCTTGAGTCCTTCCTCCAAGTTTCTGCTTTGAGTTCTTCTTCTGACTTCCCTTCATGATTGGACTATAATTGTAGGCTGAAATAAACTTCTTCTTTCCCAAACTGCCTTTAATCTTTATCTCAGTAATAGAAACCTAACTAGTTCAGTGACTTATAGTGAAAGATTTTATTCAGGCCTGGGGAGATGTCTTGACCTATCCCTACTCTGGGAACCAACCCTAGGACCTTATGCTTGCTAGGCAAGAGCTTTACCACTGAGGTAACTCCCAGATACTTTTCATTTCTTGATATTTATGTCAGGTTAGCATATGACTATTCTAATATTGACCACTATCATGATACCCTCCTCCTTCTCATAGCCAAACACTTTATTTTTTTTTTTTGCTACAAAGCTTCATTTCTTCAAAGATGATAAAATTACTCATCTTGTTTTTGAGACTCTTCATGTCTTTGTTATTTCAAATGATGTCACAAGTATGTAGACTGTGCCTTACCTTTAAATATACTTGTAAGACCGTATCTCCAAATAAAACTCTAAAGTGTAAGGCTGGGAAATAGCAGGTGGTAAGTGCTTGGCCAACAAATGAAAGGCCCTGGTTTAATTTTTAGCCTCCCACCAAGAAGAAAAGAAAAGAAAGGTGACAAGATAACAGGATTATTGTAACAGCAGTAATACTTTGTAAGCTGAAAGTGCCATATAAATAAAAAGAATACAGTGATATAGAGCGTAATTAGTATGTACAATATGTAAAACTATGGCTTAGAGACTATTTCATTACCTTCATATTTTTAATAATTTCATTTTTGTATTTATTATTATTACTAGTACATTTATTTATTGGTGTATGTATGGGAGAAATGTACCTTGGCATATATGTGGAGCTCAGAGGGCAACTTGTGAGAGTCAGTTCTTTCCTTTACTGTGTGGGTCCCGAGATCATCAGGCTTGGCAGCAAGCTAAGATATCTCCCTGGCCCCCATTTTCATGTTTCTTTCTTTTCTTTTTATTAAAGTGTATAGGTATTTTACTTGTATGTAAGAAGTGAAAATATATAAAAATATTTTAAAACTGTTAAGCATTACATAAATGTAAATAATAATGACAGTTGTAGCTTCTTGGAAAAGAATATTTTTAAATGTTCTGAGGTCACAGAGAAAGTGGCTGTGTTGACAATTGGAATTTGTAGTGTAGGGAGACTATAAAGAACTAGGAGATTGTTATCTTTGATAACTTTCTGCTGAGCTAAATGCTCTGACAGAGATGGACTACTGCATTCCAGAAGACACTACAGTGAAGATGTCCCAGATTAGTACTATATTGGCAGAATCTAACAGGTAGGTTAGAATAGATCATTTTCTGTAAAAGAACAATTACTGGAAGTGATAATTAACTCTAGTAATTTTATTTTTTTCTTTCAGCAGTCCCTAAGGTGTTAGGATGAATGTTAAGGAGTTTCATCTTTGATTTGCCTTCATTTTTTCAAGTATTATGATTGCACAAGTGTATGTGTGTACATGATGCGTGCAGTATAAAAGCACATGTATAGAGGAGCACATGTACAGTAGAGAAGACAGAGCACAACCTTATGGAGACAGTTCTCTCTTTCCATCATGTGGGTTCCAGGGAGCAGACTCAGGGCATCAAGCTTACACAGCCAGCAAGGGTCTTATCCACGGGGCCATCTCACCAGCCATCCACCTATATTTATGTGGAACCTTAGAAAAGGTCCAGATAGTGAACTCTGTTTTGTTCCGTTTGGAGAATGGTTGGAAAACTGCTAAAAGCTTGTAGAATTGGAGTAACTTGATTAGATATCCATTTGGCCTACAGCATGGAAAATAATATCTGTATCTCATTTACTAGATCCATATATCTCATTTACTAGATTCCATATATAAATGTAAGAACTGTCTTAAGCCATGAAGAGTTTCTGAGTTTCTAAACAATTTACGGCTTTTGCTTTTATATTTAAGACTTTTAAAGCATGTGTTCAATAATGCTTGCTTTATTTTGTAGAAAATAACATAAAAATTGTAAATTTGGGGTTAACCTTTACATGGACTATATTATGTATGCCATACACTGCCTGTTGACAAAGACGAAAATGAGAATCTTGTCTACATATAGAAATAGGTTGTTAACAATGAATTCATCCTAAAATAAAACTTTTCTCAGTGTATGACAAGTATAGATATACCTGATGTAAAATATCAAGTGCAGTTCATTTCATCAGCCCACAAACTATGTAAACTGAGTGCAGGAAGAGTAAAATTGTGTTGACCTCCCTATAATGGTTGGGACCGGGCTAGTCCCTTTACCACGTACTACAATGGTTAGAATAAAATACGTCACCAAGATGGTTTCCTGGCTGAGAGGTGGAAGGAGTGGAACTGACTCTGTTCTTCCAGTCGCTAGCAGGGGCAGGCGAGTGAAATCACCTTCCTTCCCTTATTAGTGTATACTAAGGCCAAGACCCTCTTGCCCTAAAAGGCCAGGGATGATCCCCTCTCCCACAGTGACAAAGCCCTCGTGTTTTGTTTGTGAGCCATTCTACATGTAAGAGAAATGAACAATTGACTACTAAAAAAAAAAAAAATTGTGTGCTGAATTTTTAAATTGAGGTGCTCTAGAGCTCAATATCTTTTGGTTTTGTTGGCGCTTTGTGTTTTTTTTTTTCCAATATGTCTTATAAGTGATTTTTGCTGCTCTCCTATGTAAAAGGCATTACTCTAGTGACCAGTAATGTTTTTATAAAACATTAAAAAAAGAGGTTACAAAGAAATTGGAACTCCTCTTTTCTCTGGAGAAATACAACATAGGAAAAGAAATTTACCTCATAGATTTTGAGGGTTTATTTCATTGTAAATAAGAATCAGTTCCTATTATTACTAATATGACTGGAAGTATTTATTTGGTTGTAATATAATGAGACTTAGTTTTGTTTAAGTCAAATGTATCTTTTATAACCAGGTATAGTACAGAATCTAAAATCCAACACAGATTGAACATAGATAATTAAACATAGGGGATTGCATCCACATTTTCTTGTTATTAAATGTAGACTCTTCAGTTTGAAGAGACTCAGAAGTCTCTTCAAAGAGACTATTGATGGAGATTATATGTAAAAAGTTGAAAGACTTCTTTTGAATTTAATATTTAAACATGTTAAAATTTATCATTAGTGCTTCTTCAAGTAATTTTGTCTTTGATCATGTATAACTTTTATAAGGAAAAAATTAGTGCTTGACAGAAAAAGTACTTTTATTCACTACTTCGTAATTTATTTGGGAAGAAAGAGATGAATAAAAAAATTAAATCTCTCATTAGTTAGACAAATCAGAATATATTATCACCAACCTTTTGGTAATTTTTAATTCCTTCATATTAAAAACTTACCAAAGAAAGCTGGGCATAATGGTGCACTCATGTAGTAGGAGAACTTGGGACAGGGAGACAAGAAGTCAGTAATTCAAGATTGTCCTCCTCCAGAAACTTAGAAAGGTCATCATCTCAGGTGTAGAGTTATTCAAGATATAAATTTATCTTTGCATGTAATCAATTTTTACAAGAATTACTTTTTGTGTTAAATAAACATCATTTACCCTATATTATTAGAGAAGCTTATAGAATAAGGTATTTTGCTCTGCATTTGTGACCTGTGTATCAAAAGACCCTTCTTTTCATTAAGAACTTTATTTCTCCTCAGCTGCAGAGTTATTTTTTTCCTAGTCAAAGGAGGTTTTTTAACAAGACAAAGTTCCCAACCTTCCAAAAAGTTTCATTGATTGGAAATAGCATTTTGTGGTTTTCTTTTCTTTCTTTCTTTTTTTTTTTTTAAATACAAGTCTTATATTGTCCCAGAAGACACCCCAAATCGTACTTAAAATTCAGGATCTTGTTTCTGGAGCTGGTAACTTAGGTCTTACTCGTCAGCCTACTGCACTGTTCCCTTTTCAGACACATAGATGTCATCCAAAAACTTTCTGATATCTTTCTTTTTAACTGTTGTGGCTCGCTGTATCAGAGCCACTGAGTTTGAAACGAGTTCAATATAATTTCCTTCAAGGATTAATTCACCCTTCTGTGCTTGAGAGACAAAGCAAGCAATGTCTGTCCTCGTTCAAACCCTGCGGATGTATTTTTCACCCAAGAAATTTCGGGTTTCAACCAAAGACCCATTCTCCTGAATAACGACGTTGATGGGGAAGTGAGCATACATGGACCTCATCACGGAAGCCCAGTGTAACACCCTTAATCATGTTCCGACGGTGGCCAGTTCCTTCCTGTTTTTCCACCGTTTGTCAACCCAAAGCCTCCTCTTCTTCCCAAGAAGGCTCAGGTCTACGTTGTTGTGATTGAAGTCCCTCCAGAGGGTTCCTCTGGAGCCCTTCACAATGACTGTGCGCTCCTTCAGAGTGATGTCCACATTTTCTGGAATGTCGACCGTCTGATTGTTGAGAATGGCATTCATTCTCACAGTAGATTGGGCAAAGAGCAGCATTTTGTGTTTAAGAAGACGTTTCTGTTAGTGAACAGAAATGTAATTTCTAAAGCAGAAAGCTAGCCACAAGTCTCTGTTCATGTTAAGTGGTCAGGTTTTACCTTAATTGTAGAACATGGGATTTCTCATCCTGGAAACCAAAGACAAAGCCAATGTAGCAGTTGGAAAGGCTACATTGATAATATTTGTTGTTTTTTGTTTAATTAATTTATTATTTAGCCATGAGATGCGTTTTTACAGCTGACCAGTTGATCTTCCTTTGTACTGACTCTAATTTTTCAGACCTCAGCAATCACCCAGCGGATAAGTCCCTGCTCCACCCTGACTAGCAGCACTGCCTCTCCCCCTGCCAGCAGCCCCTGCTCTACGCTCCCACCAGTCAGTACAAATGCAGCTGCCAAGGACTGTAGCTATGGCGCTGTCACCAGTCCAACCTCCACCCTGGAAAGCAGGGACAGTGGCATCATTGGTGAGTTCCTTCTTTATAAAAATCATTTTGTATCTTCTTATACTTTTTAAATGCAAGCCTAAGATTTTCAGAGATATAGACTGAGTTATATATGTAAACTTGTCCTTTTTTAAAATGTTGAAGCAGTAAAGGTTAACAAAATGAGAGACATTTGTTTCTATTTAATCACTTTTTTCAGGCTTTATTTGATAAGTTATAGAACATTCTCATATTTTTTCTCTGCTGCCACCATAATTGTCCAGAAAACTTAGTTCTTCACTACTGTAGTAGAATTTTGTGAAAACAGATAAAGGTGATTAAGATTGAATGGCTAAAGATCTGCAACTTGAGTTGTCCTAGGGTCTGTTTGTTTTAAGTGTGTGTTAGTTCTTTGATGAGGTTTGGAAGTCCCTTCTGATCTGGTTTTTAGTAGTAGTAGTAGTAGTAGAACATCCCATTTTCTGCCCTTAACAAAGTAGAATAAGTTTATTCTGTTGCTTATGATTCTGGGACCTTAGCCTGACATGTTCATATGACAAGAAAGGAACCCCATATGCTGTGAGTCACTGTGGAGACACGGAGCTCAGAGCATAGGTCTAGTGATCTCTCAGAGTCTACAGCAAGGTAATTTACTGATGAACACAGCCCAGAAGCGTGAGCCTACATAGGCAGAGTATTTAAATGATCTTCCTCTCCCACTCCAGAGCAGACTCAATGCTCTGTCCATCTTTCCTCCTCTTTTGGACATTTTCCACTTTCAGGTACACAGACCTTGTGGTTGCTTAAACTGTGTCTTTGTCTAGAGTCAGCTCCCAGTATGTAAAGAAAGAAATGTTCTGGAGTAAACATAGCCTTCATACTGGCAAGGTACCCTTGACAAACCTGGCCCTCAATACCCATCACAAACAGTGGGAAGCAAGAGGAACTTTAGTAGACTGCAGCTATAGCCCGGCACATACCCAGAAAATTCCAATAGTAGAGCATCCAGGAAGAAGCCCTTAATATTTTGCCTTTTTTCCTTTGTTTTTCTTATTACCATATTTAAATACTATTTTTACTTTATATTTTGCAATCTTTTGTATTCTTCTTACCTTTACACCTTTTGTATTTTGTAAGTTCATTTTTTATTTCTTACTTTACTTCTCCTTTTCTTTAAACTCCTTTTTTTCCTTTCTTGCCCCCTCCTTTATTTTATTAATTTTTAATTCGTAATTTATGTTACATGATTTTTTTGCCACTCTTCCATGATTATTCATGGGGCAGTAGTTGTCTTTAATTGATTTTTTAAGATTCGTTTTCTCTCTTTGATTTCTTTGGATGGTGCTGCCATTGTAGCAGCATGTTTTGCCCTCTGAGTGGTTTTGGGGCCTCAAACAAAAGATGCTAACAAAGAAAACCCCATATAAGATCTGAGGAATATCCATGCAAATCAGTACACAGGTATCAAAAGAAATCTGAAAAGACAAGGCAACCTCACTCCTAAAATTTATAACTCTTCAGAAATTGAATCTAAAGATATTTAAATGGTTGAAAAGCCAAAAAAAATCCAGAAGTTTCATTTTAAAAATAATCAATAACCTCAAAGAAGATTAAAAGAAATGAATGAAGTAAAGTCCATTGAAGACTAGGACAACAAACTCAGTCACTAAGTGGGAAAAATATTAGCAAAAAGATTCTGAAGAGAGAGGGGGAAAAAAACGACAAATAAGAATGTTGGGAATAAAAGTCTCAATAAGTCAAATAGGACTGAAGTGGTGGCTCAGTCAGTCAGTACAGTGCTTACAAGGGTGACCTGAGTTTGATCACGAGAATTCACATTTTAAAAACAAACAAACAAACAGTCTTGATGGCACACACATGTAATCGCAATGCTGGGAAAGCAGCTGGCCAGCCTAGCCTACTTGGTAATTTCCAGGCCAGTAAGAGATCCATCTCCATACCCACACAAAAAAGGCAGAGCTGAGAAGATGGGTAAATGTGAGAACCTTCTTTCAGGACCCTAGTCCCCATGTTTGTTAGTTTTTTAAAAACCACATGGAACATTGCTCATATATGATCCAGCACTGTCCAAAGTGGAAAGCAGATCCCAGGGACTTGCTGGCAAGCCAGTACAAATGAAATGGGAGTTCCACATTCAGTGAGACAATGTCCCCCAAAAATAAGAATAATGACCTTGGTGGCATGAGAGCAGAAGAGTTGACCCTGCAGCTCACCTGGGCAACATAGTAGACCTGGCCCTGGAGGTGTGGATGTAGATGAGCCAGCCCTGATGGCATGAGAATAGGAGAAATGGCCCTCCCCCTTGCTGCCTGATGCATTAGGTTAGCTAGTCTGGGCAGTGCTGGAGAGCTTGTCTAGTAGTGAGGATGAAGGAAAGCTGGTAGACTAAACAACCCATCTGACACCCAGGCCCAGAACCAGGGCTGTGAGTTGACCCATCCCAACATCCACTCCATATATGAATGGCTGGAGCACATTAAGGGGCCAGGAGCACACGCTGGAGCACATGAAGGCTACAGGATCTCTATAACTCAGGGCAACAACAGGTTATCTAAAAGGAGTCCCAGTGAGGATCCAATACTGATAGTATAACAGAAGCCAGAAGCTTGGAACCAGACCAGTGACTCATTACAGTAAACATTTGCAAGTAAAGATGTTTAGACTAAAGGATGTACTGTGTACCTCACTGTGTCACAGTACAGCTGAGATTTATTTCTTTTAAATTTTATTTTATTTTATTTTATTTTATCTTGGGTGGGGGCGAAGTTGCATGGGCAGAGGACAGATGAATAGGATCAAGATGAATGATGTGAAATCCACAAAGAATCAATACAAAGTTAAAAAATAAGAATAAAACTTAAATTACTGTTTCTCATACTATATAAATTCAAAGAAGATCAGTGACCCTATTATGAGGCCTGAAACTTTGAAAATAACTAAAGAAAAAAAATCGGGAAAATAGAGTGAGACTGTTCATTAGTGCAATCACTATAAATATGCATAAACACCCCCATAAGGAGAACAGTTATATGGTCCTCTATATCACTCAATGGTGTACAACTAAAGGAATCTCAAGTCAGGATACAGTAGGGATTTTCCATACCCTGTACTAGTCACAGTAATCAAATGATGCTGTCAGCCAAAGTGACCGTCAACAGATGAATAGATAGAATGTGTACATACACCGAGGTTTATACAGCTATAAAGAAGGATGAAATGCTATCATTTACAGGAAAATGGAAACTTGGACATTGGCATATTAAGTGAAATACACTAAACTTAGACTAATATTTTTTCTCATATATAAAATGTAGATTTTTGTTTTAAGAATACAAAAAATTGCTGGGTATGGTGGTGCATGTCTCTAATTTCAGCACTTGGGAGACAGAGTCAGGCGGATCTCTGTAAGTTCAAGGCCAGCCTGGCCTTACATGGTGAGTTCCAGGGTAGCCAGAGCTACACAGAGAAACCCTCTCTCAAAAAACAAAAGCAAGGCCAGGTGGTGGTGGCGCACACCTTTAATTCCAGTACTTGGAAGACAGAGGCAGGTGGATCTCTGTGAGTTCGAGGCCAGCCTGATCTACAGAACTAGTTTCAGGACAGTCAGGGCCACACAGAGAAATCCTGTCTCAAAAACAAAACAAACAAAAACTATGAAATTAGAACGAAGACCATCTAAGAAGCAGAAAGAGCTCATTGGTAGAAAGATGGAGGGTAAGAGATGGTAATGGAATGGATGGTGGAAAATGTAATGAACTGTGTTTTTAAATGTGTTTCCTTTAATAATTGGGCTATTAGGTTTATTTTAACAAATAGTCTGAGATACAGTCTTTTCAGATAAGAACAATAACAGTATAAAGCTGTGTATATACTCTGAGAAGGAAAAATGTCCACTTAAGAAAGTTAGGCTTTGCTCCTAAATGTAAGTGGATTTTCTGTATATTTCCTTTCTGCCTGACAACCGAACAATAAAAGTGTCATAGTCTAGAGTTAGTATTGTATAGAATAAGGCGGAAGCATAAAATATAGACATTTAGAGACTGGGACTCACCTTGGAATAGTCATGGTACAGGAAGACCTGGACGATAGCCCCAATTGACCCCAGACTTAAAACAATAAATATTAATCTGCACAGAGCTGCTTCTCTGCAAGTCACACTTCTGACCTTAGAAGAATAGACTAAAAGTCACTGTTCACACTGAGAATGTCATTGTCAAATTGCTAGAGTGAGTTTTCTATTGAGCAATGTGGTTTCATGATTGATTCTTTCACTGATAGTATAGATTGCAGGTTGCATCATTCTACCAGCACCATCAAGACCTGATTCTGATATTTCAAGGGAGAAACTGCAGAAGCTTAGAAAACAGTCCTTGACAAAGGAAGAATTCACAAAGATGAAACCAGAGCTGGAAGCTACATATTTTTCAGTATTCAAGAAAACATTTGCATGATGTGTTCCTGTGTCGTGTTATAGCACATCCTATTTTAAGAAAAGATTTAAATTTCCATATCTTCTTGGAATGTAGTCAAGATTTGAGTGTGTGAGGGAAAAAAGAAAAATGAAGATTTCTTCAAAAATATGATTAAATCAGGAGCTAGAATAATTGCTTCAGTATTGATTCCTTTGAGCATGAGTGATTATTTCTTTTAGTCTGTCATTACTGACTTGGGAATGCATCTGTTAAAACCAAATGACAAGATTCTACAGAATACAAAAGGTGATTGCAATAGGATTGGTTCTTCATCGTATGCCTTTGGAATTCAGGGTTCTACAGGTAGATGCAAATGAAAATTATAAATAAGAACATTAAATGTAAGTTCAAATAAAACTTTATATTGGTAGCATAAAAAACAAAATACTTGTATATAAGCAAGCATTTTCAACTAAGCAAGATACCCAACATCAACCTCTGGCAAACAAGCCAAAATATTTAAAATACTGTTTATAATAAATAGGAAACTAGAAATGCCTCAGTTTTTAAATACTATAAATGTCTTCTCTGGAGTCCTGAAAAGTTTCA